ACGCTGTTAAAGGACGTCCCTCACGCGGATCATCAATGAGATTGCTACGTCCACTCTTAAACTCGTTAAACCAATTGTAAGTAGTGGCAAGAGATGGGGCTTCATTAAGAAATGCTAATCGCAGCTTATCATAACTTTGTTGTGGCTGGTAATGTAAGCCCACAACGAGTCATAATAAATCATTGACCGAAAATTTTCTCGCTTTAGGTTCATTTTCACGTGTTTGTTTATTTTTAGATTTGCCGCCAATTTACAAAAACAAATGACAAATTAATGCAATACACTAGGTACATTAGGTTACCAAAGAGTTCTAAAATTGAAATAAAAAAAAAAGTTTTCATTGGCAATGTTTCTAACTGACCAGTTCTAAACATTTTCAGTGTTACCAGTGTTTCAATATAAAAGTTACTGCAATAGAAAATAATTAAAACTCTCTATTGATTTGTATGGAAATGCAAGCGATAAAAATATATACATTAGGATATATTATAAATATACCTACATCAAATCTAATTAGTGCGAAGAATGTTGTATCAACGCCGCCCATAGACACTCTTAATGCCAGAGAGGGCTCGCGAGTGTGTTGTCGGCCTATTTTCTTCAAGACAGATAATAACAAATCATTTTCCCGTAGATAATAATTAAATGAAGGAGGCAGCCATTTTGACGCTATAATGAGTTCGATCCCCCAAAACAATACTTCTGGATGAAAGGTTCGTGCCTTAACTCGGTGAAGCAGTTCACAGTTGACTAGAAACAAATATCCCTTGTACATAACAGATTGTGTCGGATTTACAATAAAACTGTGATGAAAAATTATTCAGTGGACATTTTCAGCAACTCCATGGACACACTGGTTTTAGACACTCATGCTGTTAATTTGTTTGTATTGTTATTTATTCTCACATAATTATGTATTTACATTGTATATTCGCGATGCTTGGTGGACCCATGCGTTCTTTAATACAAAGAGTCTCCACGTGAGTTGTGTGCTGCGAAATTGCTGGCTACTATTGCGAGGAAGTTGCATGGATCTGGTTTGCGCTTCGCCTTCTTAGGTTCTCACTTCTCATGTCATTTTCACACATGAACATTCCTTCTATAACATATGTTCATAAGTGATTGCCATCCTTGTCATCATGTCTGATGTTTGAGAGCAAAAATAAAATAAAATTAAAACGAAAGAAAGATAATACTTGTAATAGAAACCTGAAAACAATGAAATATTAGCAATATTGTAATTAATGATTGCGTGTTGATGATATTTTATCTATAAAAGGTAAATGTAAAATAAAATCAATTATGAATACAGGTGTTTATTGATTTATAACTGATTGATTTTCTTTGAACTTCTATCACATAACTTCATTCTTGCCGAATCATTGAAGGTCTCTGCAGTGAGGCTATGGAGTTCACTTCCCGTCCCTATCCGCTTGGCTCCTTCTCTATCTATTAAACCTCCACTGTACAAGCATTATCTACATCGTGTCATAACTTTTGTTCTAACTGATCTGGAATTATCGTGATTCATGTGTCCTTTTTTATTATTGTCCCTTTTACTGTTTAAATATGTGTCTTATGTAGTTTTGCACTTCTTGCGCTCCCCTTCTCTAACTTTGTTCTCACAGTGATTGCCTGGTAGAGATTGCTCTTTCAGATGCCCTCCATTTTATTTAAAAGTGTTAATAAATACACAATGGGCCACGAGTGTGTGTGAGTATATTAATTGTTTTATCGGATCGATTCCTATGTTACGTGCCCTTTACGTCTTGCAACGGAATATACAAAAACATACTGAAGTAGGTATATAATGTGATACATATTTTATTTTATTAAATTTTAAAACCTTTAGATTATTTACCTAACACAAAAATAAATCTTAAAGTTTGCTCCCTGTCTAGGTACTTTTTTTATAAACGGGAGACAAACGGGCAGGAGGCTCACCTGATGTGATACCTCCACTCATGGACACACTCAATGCCAGGTGCCTCGCGAGTGCGCTGCTGTCTTTTTAAGAACTGGAACACTATTTTCCTGAAGAACCCTAAGTCGAATTGGTTCGGAAATACTTCAGTGGGCAGCAGGTTCCACATAGTGGTGGTGTCATTAGTCCAAACAACTCCTCTGAACACTCTCCGTGGTAAATGCGTTAGAAGATGCAGAGACTCCACGCAACGCCAAAATCAAACCGCTTGGAAAGAGATTGCCCCCGATGATTCGAACCAGTCTTCATTGAATTCTTTAACATATGCGAGAAGACCAAACTCGATACTGTCGTCTAGTCTACTTCCATCTTTAATTAGCGCTGTTGGCTTTGTAATCTATGGATAGGAGTCAACTATACGGAATAAAATCATTGTTAGGTACTACAATGTATGTTATAACGGATTATATTTTCTGTTGGCCTTGCATTTTTTTTAAATACATTTACTACATTTTTAATTGCAACACACAAATATACAGTATTTACAATTTTCTTAACCTACATAGTAATAATAATAAATAGAAATTTAAAACCAACTTTAAAAAAATTGGTCCCTGTGGCAGTGTTCCTTTAAAGCAGCATTTCCTCGCTGTATTGTGATACTTATTCGTTGAGCGAGGTCCACCAGCTCTGAGGTCACCGGTTCTATCCACCAGGCGGCAAATTAAATCTTTAATTAAGGCCTGTGCACTTGAACACGGCCCAAGAGTCTACTCCAAAGGAAACAAAATCGAAGTCAAAAATTATTTATTCATATAGGTAACACAACACTGTACACTTATGAACGTCGAAAAGAAATATACATTAAATGCTTCTAATTTTACATTTACTGCCAGTTCTCAAATCAAGGGCTTAGAACGGGAGAGAAGCACTGGCAATAAACTCGTCGCCACTCTTTTGAATCGCCAAGTTTTTTGTTTTACACAACGTTTGTAAGGAACTGCAACCATTACACCATGTTCCACATGACATCTTAAGTAATAAATAATAATAAAATAAATTAAAAACAAAGATTTGTCCTCTATCAGCAGGAGGCATGGTGAAATAGGACTACGCACTAACATTCTCGTGAGAACAACACGCAAATACATAGTCGAAATAACTTACATGTTAAGTTGGAGGAAAGACGTTTATTGTTTTCCGCTGGCTTTTCAGCCGCGCCAGCTTTTTTCCTTGTCCGAGGGAGATGAGACGGGGCTAACGTGTCCACACAAGTAGTATCCCATAGCCGTCCCATACTACAAGGGATCAACGACTTGATTTACATAACTCGATGTTTGAGTGCTTTTCAGCGTGGTGAGGGTAAGACTGGCTGATTATGTAAATAGTGTAATTCATTCGCGTTTATACTTTATATTATCTACTAGAAGACTCGGCCAAGCGTTGCTGTGGCTAAGATTTTTGTTATATTACAATTTACATAGTAGTAAACTATTCAAGAGAAACGGCAGGAGAACACCAATCCATGGTGCCTTTTATGGTGGTTATGCCATTAAATTGTAGCTTATGTGAAACGTTGGTATTTATTTTGATAAGGGTACTACCAAGGTACGAAGGGCAATACCAAGGTACGAATAAAGAGCCTTTTCTAGCGGTGGTATTTTAATAAAAAAATAATAATAATAGGACGCTTATTGTGACGTAACCTGGTATAAAAGATAGAGACACGCTGTCATAATACATCATTTTGTTATATCATTAATAGTTTTCGCAGCGCACGCGATTGAAGGAAGTTTTTTGTTTATTTTTTTACACCTTGGGTTAGATCATTCAAGTTTTAGTAAGCATCCCTAATTTTTTTGAAAATGAAACATATGCAGCCTATGTCACTTGGGAATAGTGTAGCTTGCCAACGGTGAAAGAATTTTTGAAATCGGTCCAGTAGTTTCGGAGCCTATTCATTTCAAACAAACAAAAAATCAAATCTTTCCTCTTTATAATATTATTAGTATAGTATAGATTATTTAATTGTGTAGTATTCGCGTACAGCACGATATCGTCTTCTGGTCTCCATTCGGGAGAATATTGTATTACTATTATTCTTTAGTAGATTCCATTGTTAATGAGGTTTTTGTAACCAAATATCACCAGTATTTGGTTATAGACAATGAAATATCGAAGTTAAACGCTAAACGTAAGCGTTTTAAGCTTGACTGCTCAGGGCAGGGCGTGGTCTGAATCGTGCTGTGATCGCAGTTATTAACGTTTAGAAACGATAATACATATTTGTAAATTTAATTAATATAATTGTCCACGGATTGGCCATTAAAGCTAGATGTTTATTGGTATATATTTCTTATAAACGATTTAAAAATAAGTTACCAAATAAATAGCAAACTGTAAATAAATAAATAATTTTCAAGACTTCATAAAACGTAATTCTTTCCTAGCCTATTAGTTAAAATAACATCTCTGAAGCCGTACATTATTTGATAATATCTAAGTATTTTGTGGTAAAATTAGTTAATTTTTCATATGTAAGATTTATATAATAACGCATACAATGATTAAATATTTAAAAATATTTAAAACGGCGACTATTGAAAGTAATGAAACCCCAACGGCGACCAGTTAGGAGTCAATGACTGCGGCTCATACTTGGTTCAGATTAGAAATGCGCTTTCTAGCGGCGGCGGCCTTAACATGTACAGTGCGACGTTGCCGTACTTCGCGTCTGTTAGGAAAATACATTTATCTCCAATGGTTTTTCAGTCATCCTTTACGTAATATAAAATTAAATATGTAACCAATAAACTCTTGTAAATTGTGAAATGCATTTTTATTTAACTATTTAGTTTACATGCATATTCTTATGTCTAAAACCAGACTAATTAATCAACTAAGTAGTCTGTGGATGGTCAGATCTTGGTTTGAACACAGATATGTATTAAATACATACTTAAATGGAGTATTGACTTGCTCGACTTGTGGTCCTGTATCCGCCAGGTGGGGGAGACCCCAGAGAGCTTCCAACGTAGAACATCAGCCTGGTCTGTCTTGGGCAGCTCTTATAACTTCACTCCATGTCATATACACCTTCCTTAACAATGCTCTGCAATGATGCTTCGTTGCCAGGTCTTTTCTTGAGCTTGCTCTTGAGAGGTGCTGGACAATGTGACTTGGATCCCCCCGGAGCGTTAGCCACACATTTCCACTTACGGTGATTTATTCCTATCAATTGACACCTCATTGCAAACCTCCCATAGGTGATAATTGGAGATTCCTGCCAGAGAGACTCGGGCCAGAATATGCTGAGGGTTTGACTAGGGCAGCGGTTCACGAAGCCTGGAGTTGTTGCGTGGAGCTCTGTAACTTTCCACGTTTCGCAACCATGTAGCAACACGGTCTTCGGAAGATTTTGAGCTTCGCGTGATTGTGAAACTTGCCTGAGACGTACAAACATTGTTCTGGCTTTTGTGATTCTGGAAGTGATGTCATCCTTCCTCAAGTTTCGGTAAGTAGGTGGATACTGGGACTCGTTCAATCAATAAAGCATTATTTGTATCAAAACTTTCATTTATCGACATATGTTAATTTCTGCGTATGTTTAGATTTCAAAGTTTATCTGTCACATATAAATATATGTAACACAGAAATATAACGAAGTATAAGTACAATAAAATTAAACAGACACCGAAAGATAATATACAATATTTTTCATGTAAAACGCGCTTTTAAAAACGCGTGCGGCACTTCCCATTCCAAAGAAAATGACTAATAATATGGAGTGCATCTATATTGTAAATAGGTAAGTTAAAAGATTATTAAAACATAGGCATGATACGCAACAGTGATGGGCAGAACCGCTAAAGGTTTTTTTTACCATAAATTCTTCTTCATAACTAAAGTTAAGCAAAACAATTTGAATAGTAAGATAACTTTTGTTCAAGCAGTTCCCCAGATGTGAGGACGGTACATCCATACGTGTGAAGAACTCTTCCTTCAACCAGTCCGTCTCTTGTCCTAAATTTTAACCAAGATCCATTACGGAAAAACTGTTGGATTCAGCCGTCTCTGTCTCTAAAAACGTCTTTTATAAATTGAAGTAAACAATATTAAAATTGTCAGACACGATTGTTTTCGAGGAAGATATCGCCTCTAGATAAACCGAGAAATACCCGGAATAATCATTTGCAATTTAATTGAAATATGATAGCTTTTTCCTCTTAGATTTTCAACATTGGTATTTTGGGCATTTGTATAAAAAATATACGTAGATTGAAAATACTTCTAAGAATGGGCTTTATTAACCAACAAAATGTTATTTCGGGTGCGTTTCAGTGGAGAGAAAGTGGTTCTGGGATCATGAGCGTGTGACAACTATGACATATTTGCATTAAAATAAGAAATAAAGTGTAAAACTTATCTAATACATATTTTACAAGGTTTTAATTATCATTATAAAAGTGGAATATACAGCTTAGATTTGTTGTAAAAAAAAATTCTTGTTATCCTAATATCCTTGCTTATTTCAGTACCATTGATCAGAACCCCTTCACGGGTAAAGGCCTCCTCCAGCATTTCCCAACCATCTCTTACCAAGGTTTTCTTTCTTCGCAAGTGCTTCAATGTTGTTTGAAAACCAAGACCAAGACCAGCAGCAAGCTCAGCCGTAGATTAAGTTGAATCTGCTTCCACTATCGCCTTCAATTCGACGTTGTCCACAATGGTTATCGGCCGACCGCGAGGCTCGTTCTTCAACTCAACATTTCCAGATTTCAAATGATTGAACCATTAACGGACACGTACGGAACGAACACGTTTATGTTTCGTTTGTTTGCGCAGCGGTATTTCTACGTCGGTACTCATATTTGAACATTTTACGAATTTTCTGTTTATCTATGGCGCCAACTACCACAATTTAACAAAAACAAAATACATACTATCTAAAACAAATGACTGAATCTGAAATCAGATTAACTCGGCTTTCGAATAAGATATATTGATATATATTTCATTAATAAATCATTAATAATTATACTGGAATTTAGAATTACGCGCTAATTCATAAATCTGTTTCTGGTTATAGAACCTCCAATTACATAAGTTGTTAGACTTCAATTAAAATGTCAATTATATATACGTAGGTAGTAGATAAGATGCTGCTGTGAATTGCTTGTTTTCTATCTATATACATCGTGAGGAAAGCTAAAAATGTTGACATAAATACATACCTAGGTAGCACTGAGAATGTTTAGAAAATGAAAAACGGCTTAATGTTCGAGAGTTAGAGAGTTGCCAATACTTTTATTGTTTTTCAAAGTAATCTCCGTTCCTCTCTATCACATCGTGGAATGGATTCATGGAATCACTGAGAAAAGCAGTCTCTTCTATGGCATTTTCGTACGCTTTCACTGCATCTTCAGGGCTCGTAAAGCGAATACCTCGAATTTTATCTAGGGTGTCAGGTCAGTACTGTATGACTCATTATCTCGAAACCTGCCATAGTCAAATACATATACAACACTCCGTTTTGCGGAGTGCGCTGAAGCATTGTCGTGGTGAAGGAGGATCCTGCTTCGAGGGCGCTGATGTCGAATTTTTTCCAAGACAACAGACAAACAGCGATTGACACACCAGTCTGCCGTAACTGTCCTTCCATCTTCTAGCACAACTGTCGCGAAATGACCTTTCCGACTAAAGAATGAGGCAATCATCTTTTTTCATTAACTTCTTCCTTTCTTTACCTTAGTTGGCCGATGCTCGAAAGGAAACACCCACTGAGCTGATTGTATTTTGGTTTCGGGTTCGTAGCAATATCACCGGTGACGATGTCAAATACAGCATTTGAGTCACCACCGTTGAACTTATCTAATATTTGGCGACACCTGTCCATGCGAAGGTGTTTCTGGTCGTCGGTTAAAGTATGAGCAATCCATCTGGTACAAAGCTTCTTCCTTAAAAAGAAATGACAAATGAAATGCAATAAATATACTACATTAGGTTAGCAAAGAGTTCAAAAATTGAAATTCAAAAATGTTTTCATTAGCAATGTTTCTAACTGGCCAGTTCTAAACAGTTTCAGTGTTACCCACGTACTTTACGGCGATATACGGTAAAAAATTTATCTTTTCTTAAACACTCCTCTCTTTTGACACTAAAGTACCTAAGTGTTATTTGAAAGATAAAGGCAATGTAGTTTTATTAAAATTTACGAAAATTTGTATTTTTTACTGGAAGCTATTAAAATCAAATAGGTAGTAAGATTTTTGTTTGTTAAAATGCTTTCTTCTAAAGGTTATTCAAAAATCAACAATCTTTTTGGTGGGTTCGATTTCCGGTGAAATAAAAATTGTTTAAGACTTATCACGTTTGTCAGCCCAATGCCTTGCTATTTTTACACCAGTCTTAATATTGGCTAAAGAACCTCACACGTTCAACTCCATGCGTTATGCAAAAGATAGTTGAATCTCTTTAAATAGCATGATTACAAATAATTCATTACTAAAGATCCAATTTAACGCCGCCGCTCTTCAGTAATATTGAACGGGCGACCTATACATAGCCACCTGGACGGTCACATAGACAAACATCTCACTATTACAACGATATAAATCACGAGTTATTCAAAAACAAAACTCTATATCAAGGGCTTAGAGTGCATAATAAATGTGTCCCTTGAGTTAGGACCGTCTCGCCCTAAGTGTCCGCCAGTATTGTGTTAGTATACAATAAATATTCGGCGCCAGTTGTGCCCGAAGTACACACATATACATAGAAAAGCAACGCTCGGGCCGCGTAAGTGCGGCAACGTCGCGCGGCGGATTCCTAGCTGACTTCATTTTATTTTTATTACTTTGGAAAAGTTCCAAAACATTTGCTAAAACTGAATTCAACTGTATTACATCGTACTAAGTTTAAAAATAAATGAATCAATTGACATGGAACTCTGTCGTAGTGAGTGTTATTCAGAGGGTAGCGGGACGCGTATACTCAACGCATTGTTCGTTTTTTACGAAGCACGTTAGAATCGATGTCAGTTGGCAGATTTTTTATAATACCGTTTTTTGGCCTTGTTTGATCTCGAGTCGAAATCCTCTAATCTACGAGCAAGATTGCGTTTAAAATCAATCAGTTCCTATTTGCATAAATGTGGCCTTGGAGACTAGACCTTCTATTTGTTTTTGTCTATTTGTGATGGTCATTATGCATGCTAAGTTTGGATAATTCTATATCACCTTTAATGAATTAAACAGAAAACATATTATTCCATATTTGGAGAGAAATTATTTAATTTAATGAATTTTAGTATATTTACGTCATACGGTAATCTTTTCAGTTTGCATAAATATTACTTATCTATGTAAATAAATAATTATAGCTCTTAGATTAGATTCTTTAGATTATTGATTATCTATTAGGTATGTGTTAACTGATGATTCATTTAATTTGGTTTAGTTTGTTAGTCTGTGTGAAAAGACGCTGGTTTTGGCTTATCATTTAAATTTTAAATAGAATAGATGGAAATAGAATACAAATGATTGTTTTCAAGTAAAATAAAATGTTGTTCTTAAAATACATATTTTATTTCACCAACACATTTGAGTTCCATTCATAATTTCTATATAAATTACTGATATATTAGTTTAATATTATTCCAATACTGTATCCTCTATACAACGCCGACATAATAAAATTAATAACAAGATCGTATTAAAACGACACTTGACAATGACACTTATGAAATAAAGTCTCCCGCTGAGTCGTAAACATTGTTTAACAAATCATTGATGTTATTCTAGGTTTAAAGATGAGACGTAGGTAATGGGATAATTAAAGCTCGCTCCAAACCTGGTTCCGAGGGATATTCAATCTTCTTGGAAAGAAAAAACATACTGGCAGGCATAGCCCAGATATTAGATTATATTAAAAAAGGAATCAATTCTCTTTTGTTTTTCTTTCATTTGTTTGCTTCGTGTCGGAACGTGTTCTTAAAAATGGGTAAAATTTAAGTTTGCGCGGTAATATCTTTCCTTGAAAAGAGCTGATTACAAGAGGAACTTCCTTAATCGCACGGGTCGCACTTTAGACTGACAAATGATTAACAACTGGAAAAAATTGTATTGGCGAATCGTCGTATTACTTCTTCTTCATTGCTTCTTTTATTGCAGCAGAAATTAAGGTTTAATCTCAGCGCGCTGGGGGCCAAAATGCTTTCTGACGCGCATTAACAAGCGAGTATTTCACAAAACCATTTGGGTTTGTTAGAAGAAAATCTTGACGAATTTTTGGCTTGATTCATAACTATGAACACGACTTCACCAATAAAAAAGCAGTTTATAACTTGAAAGAGTCGTCATCTCCTACTCGGAAGAAATTTAAGACGATTCCGCTGGTAAGATCATGAGCTGTTATTTCTGGGGGACAACGGGCTAATGATCGAATACCATTGTCTGGGAACCACTATTCACGTCAAAAATATAATAACGTTTAATAAAAGATAATTGCGTCATACTCATTATCACTTTTTATCATATACCCCTAGTGTCTTTGTATAGATCTAGACAGAAAATAAAGAAAATCAGATTCTCGTGATGTTAAAGTCTGGACAATTTAAAGAGCGATCATATCCGTTTGTAAAACTTTTGTGACTTTTTTTAACTTAGACTTGTCTCCGCCTAAGTGATAAAAATTCGGAAAAACATGGCTGGTTAGGTTCTGAATAGTGGTGAGTGAAAGAAGACGTCCTTAGGATGTCGACGATGTTAATTAGATATCGCATTACTAATATTATATATTTTATAAGCTTGTAGTCTCTACTGAATCAATTTTCAAAATTATTGTACCAATATTTTTTTTTTTTTTTTTTTTTTTTTTTTTTTTTTTTTTTTTTTTTTTTTTTTTTTTTTTTTTTTTTTTTTTTTTTTTTTTTTTTTTTTTTTTTTTTTTTTTTTTTTTTTTTTTTTTTTTTTTTTTTTTTTTTTTTTTTTTTTTTTTTTTTTTTTTTTTTTTTTTTTTTTTTTTTTTTTTTTTTTTTTTTTTTTTTTTTTTTTTTTTTTTTTTTTTTTTTTTTTTTTTTTTTTTTTTTTTTTTTTTTTTTTTTTTTTTTTTTTTTTTTTTTTTTTTTTTTTTTTTTTTTTTTTTTTTTTTTTTTTTTTTTTTTTTTTTTTTTTTTTTTTTTTTTTTTTTTT